CCAGCTATGAGTTTGGTTTCGACCCCACTACAATGATTTCGACCTGACTTCCCATGCATTTCTTGATTAGGGATATAACCTGTCTTTTTATCTATGTTGTCGCTGTTTTGTTGTCAAGTTGGGACCGGGAGAGGCAATACATCCTACAGGAAGAGAACGCCTATCCTTCTCCAGCTTTTCACATATACTAGTTTTGTTTTTAGAAAGTTCTTGTGGCCTAATCTTAAAGGAGTCGTATGGCTAACCCAAAGCCCACCTCTCTCTGGCAGTTCAACTCTACCAGCAGCTCTGTGAGAGAAAGGTGGGCAATCAATCTCCTGTGCAATCTGCAGCCTCAGAAACCCAACAGAGGGTCTGCAAGGAGTCAATTCTGATTTAACACCAGTATTTTTTAGTTTTGATAGAATTTTCATGAGTACTGTTAGTGCTCTGGTTACTAAACTGTTGAAGTTTGTATTCCCATAAAATACTCTTTTTAAGTTGGTAACTTTTTAAAGTGTAGATAAAAATGCACATGTTGCCTATAAATGCTAATAGTCAAAGTACCTGATGATATGAATTCATTACATCCAATACGCTCAAGCACTGTGCATGCATGCATTCAACAAGTATTTACTAAATACAAAAGTGAGGTACTGCACTAGGCACTGAAGCTACAACACCGGGGAGAATGTGTATGCATATTTATGTATTAGGGAGCTCTAGTGGCTTAGTGGTAAGGAGTTCCACTGCCAACCCAAAAGCATACAGTTCAAATACACCACCTGCTCTGCAGGGGGAAGATGGGCTTCCATGCGACTTACTCCCTCTGAAAACCTTCCTGAGGACCAGGAATGAGGCCGTTCCAACTAGACAGTACACAACCACCACATACCAGTGTATATTTGTATGTGTGAGCCTGTGTATTTATGTATTTGAATTCATTCATACTCAATTGGGCAGGACTGCGTTACATATTAATGAGAGATATAGTCTAACCTCTGTAGCAGCAATTTTCACAATTTTAAACAGAATCATTTTTGTTTTCCAAAAGAAATCAACAGAAACAAAATATACAGTTAAAGCCAATCCTTTATCTTTAATTACACACCATGCAATCAGACTATGATTTAGAAACTACTGCTCTAGCAACAATACTCTGCCCTTACAGTACACGCTGAATTAAACTTAAAAGTGTCCATACGGCTAGAGAGGGGGAAAAAAATCAATTGGGACACTGTGGAGCTTCTAGTGAGAAAAGTTTATTTTTCACTCCTCTTTATCTCCTTTCCTATGCAACTGTTTAAGGAGGAGCCTGAAACTATTCCTCTTAGTTGCTTAGCCCTCACAGGAAAACTCATATTCATCACCTATGCATAGGAACTGACTCACAGCTGATCTTTCAGTAGTTTCCACACAGGAGAGTTTTGGTTCCTGGATTGTTTCTGTGTGGAATTACAGCTGGTACTACAGTTCTACGTGGCCTACCCCATGAGAGCCTCCTATAAGTATCTCAAAAGACACCTACTGTGGTCAGAAAAAGAAAGTATGAAGCTAAGTGGGAATGCACAAGTGTCCTACAATTGGGGTGCGGGGAGACAACTGTGATTTGTAATTTTAAATATAGTGGTGAGGGTGGGTCTCACTGAGAAGGCAGTCCTTCATAAACACTCAAGGCAAAAAGGGTGTTAGCCATGAGGATATCAGGGGCATTCTAGTGCCCTCGTCCACAACAAACTGCATGGCTAACCCAAAGTCCACACCCGGCCATCTTCTCCAGAGCAACACGCAGCCTGTGAAAATGAATGGTTATAAGTTGGTTACAGCTCAAAGGCAACAGTGAGAGTGAGACAGAGAAAAAAGACTCAGTACAAAGTCCTGAAGGCAGAATGGCCTTGCTTTTGAGAAGCAGCATGGAGTCCAGTTTGAATGGAGCACAGAGAAAGAGAGAGATGGGGTATTAGAAGATATCAGGAGATAACATGTGACACTAAAGATGGCTCTTCCTACAGAGGCTGGCCACTCTTTGCCACTGAGCTATTACAGAGATCTGAGCAAATCTGATCTGTAATTTTAAAAGAATACTCTCTTAGGTGCAGAACAGATGATAGCAAAGCATAGGTAAACAAAGAAAAACCAAGTAGCTATCTGCTGCAATTATCCAGACAAGACATGTCTAAGATGATGGTGTGAGGCGGCAACTGTTTTCTCTTAGGAGTTTAAGCAGTTATTTTTTTATAAAGAGAGCTAACAGTGGCTGAACCAAAGTGCTAACACAAGAAATGATGAGGAAAAAGTCAAATCCTTCCTTCTTCATTCAAACAGTCAAGCAGGCCCCAATCAACCTTTCCAAGCACGAAGGCCTTTTCCAAGGGCCTGCCCCTCCTATCAATATGCCCAAAGTACGTACGACAAAGTTTAATCATCCTTGCCTCCAAGAAGCACCATGGATGCACATTTTCCAAGATTTATTTGCCTCCTTAGAAGCCTATGGGATATTATTCAGCACTTTTCTCCAACACCAAAACTCAAAGGAATCAATTCTTCTTCTAATTCCTGTGCTTACCTATATACTGCTGAGACATGTCATATAAATAAGGTGTTACTAAGTTTTTCATGATTTTATCACTTTCTTCTGTGAGATTTATACTTGTAAATTCTTATTACTACTTATATATGTCTTTATTTAAATTGGTATGAGGAGGGGAAAAGTAAAGACAGAATTCTTTTATGTCTATGTATTTTTCTTTTTAAGTCAATGTTCTTTTCCCCAACATATTTCAATAGATGCCTCTTTCAAAAAATTCAAACTGGGGCAAGCAAGCAAGCAATAACTTCTATATAAGGATGCTAGACACTGGTGGAATACTTTTCTACCTTTTTGCAAATATTACCACTGACAGTCTAATAAATGTCCTCATTTCTTTATCACTTCTATGAACTTCTTGGTAATCTGTCCAAGTCTCTTCTTAATTTCATTTCCTTATTAAAACTTTCAGAAAAAATGCAAATCAAGACAACTATGAGATATCATCTCACCCCAGTAAGAATAGCAAAATTTAACAGAACAGCAAGTAACAAATGCTGGCAAGGTTGTAGAGAGACTGGAACCCTTATTCTCTGTTGGTGGGAGTG